CTGACACATGCAACTTCGTTCCCTCTATTATCTTCACACTTGGCTACCCTGGACGTGTTTTCTATTGTTTGCTGAATCTCGACTCCGCACAACGAGTGCCAACGCGATAGGGAGGAATGAGTTAAGCTCGTGTCAGTCTCTGATTTAACGCCCGCATTTCCATCCGACACTTTCCATAATCGCGAAACGGCCAATGTTTCTGCAACGTTCGCGATATTTGTCATTATTACTGACCAGATGCGGTTATTGTTGTTTCGACTGGAAAGATCGTATTATTTATCAGCTTTCGAGGACGATGGGTTTATCACACCCATAAAACATTTATCATGAACCCAATAACGAACAGATTTTTTTAAATAATCAGCAGAGACATTAAGAGCGTGTAAACTGTTACTTTTACTCCCTATCAAAAGAACTTTCTGGTCGCAAATGATTTGTTAATTAAACGATTGGAATTGTATTCAAAGTTTAATTGACCTACATTTGTAAAAGTTATCGACTTTTTATTTTATAAACTATGAATATTTAGTAACAAGGGTAATAGTAACAAGGGTAATAGATGAACGTTAAGAAATGTTGTATACTCAAATTAAAATAACAAATTCTTATATCCCATTACACTTTACAAGATTTCACAAACCATTATTTTTCTAAACAATTTAATACGAATAATGTAAGATTATAAACAAAACCATAAAGATATTCACAGCGTTAACGAATTATAGATATATTTCTGGTAATTGCAAGTAGGAGACAGAAGCTTATTCTATGCCACTAGTTTGAAAAGTGATAGGGATGACTAATTAGAAACAAATAAGGGAGGAATTTCAATAAATAGAGATTCATTCCTGATTTATAATTTATAGTAATACTAATGTGAAATGTTAAATTTAATCATAGATGAATAAGATCTTACCACTACGTGGTTACACGATACAGTATTAGGTTTGACAGAGGATGAGAAAAAAGTCGGTTGCCAAAGGTGGGCGCACATCGGTTCATGACCCCACTTTTGTTAACTGCTTTTAATTGCCCCGTAATTGAGATTAATGGAAAGGCATGCGGGCGCACATGATATCACCCTCGGCGAATTAAAATTAAACTGTACGAGTGGACCGCAAAGAAACCGCCGCGCTCGTTTACTTTAAGCCTGTCGTCACGCGATCCGAAGCCCACGAGGATCGGAGTCGCTATAAAACATTGTCATAAAGCCTCATTGTTTTGTTGTTCGTTTCACAATTTCATGGCCTACGTAACTCAAAAGATTCACGTGCAGTTGGTTATCAGTGTACCAGAACGCCGACATGTCTAGCTAGTTGCAAATTGTGCAACGTATTCATCGCATAACGACGAAATTACCTTGTTATTGCTTCATCTAGTTCAGAATTGCGCCAATGAACTACTTTCTGTTTTACATGATCTCACGATAAATTATATTTCATTACTCTATAAACAGTTTGCAAGGATTTATGCAAGTACAAGTTAATATTCAAGTCCGTTAATACTGTGATCTTTCAAATAATAATAAAAATAATTTATTTACGGATAGCAGAAAAGCATGTCGTTGGCTTCATACTTTTATTATAATCAATATTTATAATATTCAATTTCTAAATATTTTTTACTAAATATCGAATGAAGGTGGCATAAATTAAAATGGATTATAATAAATTAACACAAAGGTTCAATTAAACTTCTATTTGTTAAGAGATTCTGTTCCTGTGTACATTCTGACAATATTTGCCAAGGGATTACTATATTTTCTCAGGGTTTTCGAAAAAAACTTATATGAAACACAAATGACATGCTAATAAATTGAACGGGAAGGTAGGTTCGAACGACCCTTAACACGCCCCTTAACACGCCCGCTGCCTCGAGGGTCCTTGAAACGGACAGAAATCTCACGTGGTTTCCATAACTGTCAAGTGGCGTTAGGGCCAACCACGAATACCATTTTCCAATAGTTCTAAGAATAATGGATATTTCTTGTACTAACCTCGTTCTCGATACCGATTGCCATTTACAAATTTTAAACACTCATAGCATGTGAAAACTGACTTCAATTTTATTAACGTATCAAAATAAATTTCTATATTCAGATTAACCAATTTTTGTTACTTCTAAACTAATATAAATTCTATAATAGTCAACTGCGAACCATGAAGAGACTATATGCTACAATTTTTCAGTCTGTTGGACCGGATAATAATAATTTATATACTACGTTAAGTGAAGATTAATCTATTCAAATTAAAGATCGTCTGTAAGTCAGGTGAACGACAGCGAGAATATACAATATTTACAGAACATATATTTATTTCAGTGCATTGTTCGGACAAGTTAAAGTCGCTCGAGTCAATGCAAATACGGACTATTAACACCAACATGGTTCAAACGAAAGCTACCCGAGCTCGGAGAGCCCGTGTTTCGCCTACAAGATAGGGAAAGACTTGTATACGTGCGTGCGCGTACGTTCCACACGTCCACATGAAACAGCTGAGTCTAGAAGACGAGTGTTCCTCCGTATGATACATCCACGACGAAATTAATGCCCCAGGATTCCCGGTCCCAAGGACAGAGGCTTGTAGGATTGGAGGACGAAACATTCTATCGCAATGGTGCCACCAACATCCTCGCATACCGCCGATCAGCCGCGATACGATAAATTTTCCAAGGCTTTGCGCTGCCCGATGTTGGGAAATACTGTTCGCTTTTAAGGTATTCCGTTTTATCTTGGAAATGCGTGGAACACAATTTTACCCGTGAGCCGCCGATTTACCGGGCTCTCCGGTCGGCATTGTTTAAATATCTTTAGGAATGAGGATTGCGCTGCTACGAGATTCGTGGAACACGCTAACTTACCAGAACTACTCTGGGGCTGATGTTAAGAGAGATGACTTAAAATTAAAATGTGGTTCCATAATTGCTTTGAACTGGCAGACGCGATTGCGATTCCTCCTGATTGAAGATTAACACCTGCGTTCTACATTTCTGAGTTTATCATACGATGTTTGTAGCTTATATTCGAAATTTTTATTTCGATTTTTGAAATACAGTATCTATCGCGTGATAAATTAATTGATAACAATTTGATCTAACCGTGATTCAGACAATTTTAGTTCATTTTAAAGTAGAGATGAGTTATGCTAATGGTTAGACTAAACTTGGTTAACTACTCCAACCTGAACTCCATTGTAGTCATTGATAAGAAGGAGCAACTTTGAGTTATGACTTTTCAAGATAATATTGTAAATTTATTCTAGTTGATAACCGGACTAAAATTAGTAATCCCGCTAAACTTACTTCCACTGTAAGTGAAGAAATAAATAATTAGAGACAACCAAACTAAAAATGTCAAAACAAATTGATTAATACTTTGTAACAATCCATTTTTATGTCTCTCTAACCGAAGACACCAATTCAGAAGTGTCCCTGCAGAGCAATGAACCTACATTCCAAAACAGGAAGAAAAATCCGTAGAAAAGGCCGAGCATCGTGCAACAATCACAGAAGTTCGTCAACCTCCAGACATTCCAGTGCTCGAATACTAAATACTCGAGAGGGTAAGTAGCTGGTTCAGGCTCGAGTGGCAACAAACGGAACCGCGGGGCCTATCCCGGCGGGCGGAAACGCGGTTTCGTGAAAACGCTTCGAGCCGTGTCCACGGTATATCAAAAAGTCGGCGCCTCCGCTGTCGACGAAGCACCGAGCACCCACGCCCGGGTCGCATGCACTAATACTACGGTAGCGTGCACGCTTACGCATGCCGGGCCGATGGAACCGCAGCGAGAGTGCTGCGAGGGACGCGACTACACACACGTATCGCATTGACGAGTTCCCGCCCGAGTCGGCGGTTGGTCGAGGCTTTGGCAGCTCCCCGTTTCTGCCAGGTAGCCAGCGAGCTCATGCGAGCGAGCGAGCAAGTGAGAATCATACCGGCAATGATAAAGGGAGATATGGACAGCCGGATAAGGACGGAGATAAGGGAGCGTGGGAGAGAGATAGGCGGCACGGGAGCGAGAGAAAAAAATGCAAAAGGGAAAAATGAAAGGGGGAGGAACGAAGGAGGAACCGGAGAAGAGAACCGCGGACGGCAAAGCGGAGCGGCATGCGCGCGGGCGCGCTGGCTCTCGCGCGCGAGTACCGCGTGAGAGAGACGGATGGAAAACACGAGCGAGCGAGAAGAGGAAAATCGACGGAAGGGAACAACCGAGAACCGTTGCAGCGAAGCGGGTTAGAAAAAGAATG